GGTCGTCGTCCACGCCGCGTCGCGCGCTGCCGTCGGCGCGCGGGTGGATGAAAAATCACGAGCGACGCGACATCGACGCGCGCGAACGACGCCTTCGACGCGCGCGCGGACGACGACGCGGGCGCGGACGCGGACGGACGACGCGCGCGCGCGAGATGTCGACGTTCGTGCGCCCGGAGGCGAGGAGCGTGACGCCGGTGGAGAAACCGTGCGCGAAGAATGTCGACGACTTTGAACGGGCGATGGAGACGCGCGCGAGGTCGGGAATCGACGCGAGCGGGCGAGTGCGACGGTGCGCGTCGCCGTTGGACGCGTACGTCGTGGGAAACGTGTGCGAGGCGGAGGAGTGCGTGCGGTTGACGCGCGCGGCGACGGCTGCGGGATACACGTTTTGGCACGGCGACGCGGCGAACGCGGCGTTCAGAAACGCGGATACGGTGGAGGTTCGATCGACGGCGATCGCGAGTGAGTTGTGGGAGCGGTTGAGGCCGCACGTGACGAGCGAGATCGAGATCACGTGCGATGAGACGCACGGGGCTGGCGCGCGCGGGAAGTGGGTGGCGACGGGCGTGAACGAGCACCTGTTGTTTAATCGATACGCCTCTCGAGGGCACTTCTCCCCGCACACGGACGGGGCGACGGTGGTGGATTTTAACACGCGATCGTTCTACAGTGTTTTGATTTATTTGAATGATTGCGACGAGGGCGGTGAAACGGTGATGTTCGCGCCTCCCAAAGGCGCCGAGCGATGCCAATTCATACGCGACGACGCCGAGCGGTTTCGATGGCCGAGAGAGTGGATCGTCGACGCCGCGCCGTGTGAACAGGGGAGTGCGCTCGTGTTTCGTCAGGACATACCGCACGAGGGCGCGCCCGTGGGCGAGGGATCGATCAAACTTCTCATTCGCACGGACGTCATGTACTCTCGGCAGCCGCCCGCGTTCGCCGACGCCGTCGGCCTCGAAGCGTACGCGCTGCATCAGCGCGCCATGGAGGCCGAATCCAACGGCGATGCGATGGAAGCGATGCGCTTGTTTAGATTCTGTCGTCGTCTCTGCCCGGATTACGCCGATTTCGTCGGTATTTAGTGCTCGTAGCTCTCGCGGCGCAAGATGATTGATTAGCTCACTTCGCGGTCGCCACATCCATCGCCACTCCGTGCCTCTCGCTCCACTCTTTTCGACCGAAGCGCGCATCGATGCCGATCACGCGCATCCGTCGCGCTCGTTTGGACGTCCTCACGCGCGGTGGTCACGACGGATCGAACGAGCACGCGCGATGTTTCGCCGCCGACTCGAAGACGAGCGGTGCGTCTGAGCCAGACACGGCGCCGTACGCGAACCACCGCGCGCACGTGGGGGCGTCCGAGCGCACGTGCGCGCAGGTACACTCGTATAAATATCGATCACCGCCGTCGTCGACGTTCGAGCGGTGGTTTCTCGAGCGGTGGTGGACGCACGTGGTGGAGAAGTGGTGCCCGACGTGGGTGGCGCCGAACGCGCTGACATTTGGAGGGTTGATGTTCGTGATCGCGACGTACTGGCTCATCTGGGCGATGAGTCCGATGTTGACGCATACCGCGCCGACGTGGACGTACGTTTTGGGGGCGTTGTGCCTGTTCGCCTATCAGACGGCGGACGGTATCGACGGGAAGCAGGCTCGGCGGACGAAGAGCGGGTCGCCGTTGGGTGAAGTTGTCGATCACGGGTGCGACGCGGTGTGCACGTGCGTGTACGGCGTCGTATTCGCGGATTTATTGGCCGCCGGAGTATCGACAGACGAGGGGAAAATACTCGCGATTGCCATCATGACGGGCGCGCGCGTGTTTTTCACCGTCGACACGATTTCAAGCACGTACACCGGGCTCTTACCCGTGAATACGCTGTTCGACGTGCAGGAGATGCAAATCTGCCTGCAACTGAGCATGCTCGTTTTCGCATACGTTGGCAGCGATGTGATGAACTCGGTGCAGATCGGGATTCCACTCATTGGAAACAGAGGCGCCGTTCGCACGTTCTTTGACGTGGCGGCCATCTTCGGTGCGACGCAGCGTGCGAGAACCTTCTACAGGACTGTCACGGCGAAGGATACTCCCCCACATTGGCCAAAGTACCGCAGTCCAACTCGTATCGCGATCTTCTGCGTGTCGCAGGAGTTGTTTCATGGATTTTGCCTGTATCACGCGCCGAATCTGCCTCTCGCGCACGCGACGAGTATGTTTCTGTTCGCCGAGGCGGAGATGAGCATCATGCGAATCCGCGTCTCCGACCCCGATTGGCCTTTATTTAACTGGCTCAACCTTGCCATCGTTTCTTTGACGACGTGTGTACCCGCCGGAAACATGTTCTTGGGCGGTATTCTCTTGGGAGCGACGCTGTTTATTCTCGTGCACCGAAGCGCCACGCTGTGCGCGCAAGTGACGGGCTGCCTAGGTTTGCATCCGAACATCTTCGTTCTTCGTCCGCGTCAGGGTGCGTGAGGGCAAGAATGCCAATAGATCCGATTCATGATAATATGTACAGCTACCACCTAATCTACCGTTCACCGTCCACGCCGTCGTCTAAGCGCGTTCGAACACGGCAAACACCTCGACGTGATTCGTCGCCGGGAAGAAAATGAAAGACTCGTGGTGCGCCAACCGCCACATTCCGCTTCGTATTAACTCGTCCGCATCGCGCTGGAAAGAATCGAATCCACACGAGACGTACATGAGTACCTTCAAGTCGGCGCTCAACGTGTCGCTCGTCAGGGCGGACCGAACCGTCGCGCCCAAACCTTTACGAGGCGGATCGACGATGAGCACGTCGCAGTCCTTCGTCGATTCCACGACAACTCTGTCCGCCTTTTCGACTCGCAGACTCGCTTTAGACTTCACGCCACTAGGTAGTTCATCACGCGTTCGCTCCCACGCCTCTTTCACCGCGGACGACGATTCAACGCATCGAAGACTTTGCACGTCGAGCTCGGCGTTCATCAGGAGCGAGAAGCCAATCGCCCCCGTTCCGGCGTACATCTCGGTGATTCGGGCGCCGCGCGGAACGTGGCGAGGCATGCGTTCTAACAGCGCACCGTACGCCTCCGCGTTCGCTTGCATAAAACTTCCCGGAAGGTAATAAATTGGCGTCCCATCCGGCGTCGCCAACGACGTCAACCGCTCGCCGCGCACGTGCGTCCACCCTCGGTCGTTAAATATCGTGTTCGTCCGCGCATCCTGCAAATTCACCCACACCCCGTGCACGAATTCACGCCCTCCTCTCCTCGCTAAATCGTCGCACACATCCTCTACGCGCTTCGTCATTTCGCTCGCGTTCCACACCAGCGAAATCGACGCGCGCGCGCGTTCACCATCCCTCGACGGATTCCGCGCACCCGCACTCGACACCCCCTGCACCACCACCTGCACGTATCGCAGCTCCCCCCGTCCGCTCGACTCGTCGTACGCCTCGACGCCCATCGCCCGACACGTCTCCCGCGTCAACGCCGCCGCCCGGTCCACCGCGCGATGCGACACCGCGCACGTCTCCATCGCCACCACATCGTGCGTCCCGCGCGCGAACAACCCGAGCGACACCCCGTGATCATCCTCCCGCACCGCGAGCTTCGCTTTACACCGCCAGCGCGTGGACGACCCTCGAAACGTGACGTGGTCATCACCAAAGTACGCGCGAACGCGCGTCAACACCTCCGGGTCCAACGGTGCGTCCACGCGCGCGCACCCGGCGCACCGCGGGTGCGACGCGCACTCGAACGCGCCCTCGCGCGCGCTCGCGCGCGCTCGAGCGCGCGCGCGTGGTCCACGGGCCGACGCGCGAACGGGCGATGGACGCGACATCCCGTCGCGCTCTGCCGTCCCTCGCGCGCGCGCGCGCGATGTCGACGACGACGGCGACGGGCGCGACGACGGTGACGTCGACGCGACGGGCGGGACGACGACGCGCGCGTTCGCGCGCGCGAGGGGTGCGAACGAATGTGTTGGACCCGGCGCGAGACGTCGTCGTCGTCTCGGGCGCGCTCGAACGCCTGGCGCAGTGCGCGGCGAATCGATTGCGCGTGAACGATGGGAGCGCGGACGTGCGAGTGATCGCGTCGATGCCGGGCGAGGCGTTCGAGGGGATCGCGAACCCGAGAGACGCGCGGAGCGCGGAGTTGACGTATCCGCACGCGGGGACGCTGGCGTTGCTCGAGGAATCCGAAGTGATCGTGATGCGAGAGGGGAGCGAGGAGATAAGAGGGGTTGAAAAGGAGGTGACGTGCGTGATATTTGCCGAGGAGACGTCGAGGCGTTTGAGGGAGAGCGTGGACGCGTTCGCGACGCGGGTCGACGCGGGGGCGTATCCAAAGCTTCGTAGAGTGATCCTGATCTCGCGCGTGGGGGTCGAGCGGCGAGATGAAAATCCGTTCAAGTACATGAATCGAAAGACGTTTCGCGGTGGGGCGCCTCTGGACGAGTGCGTCGCCGCGGAGGAGGCGATTGTGACGCGCGCGGCGAAGACGATAAAGCCGGGCGGCGTCGCCGACGGATGGACGTACACCATCGTTCGCACCGGTGAGCTTCGCGGGAACGGGCCGATGGGCGTCGCGTACGGTGGTGATTACGCGCTCACGCTCGTGGACAACGCGTTCGACGTTCGGATGCAGGACATCGATGTCGCTCCGGGCGACACCATGAACGGTAAGGATTACACCAAGCGACTCAGCGCCGCCGTCTTCGCCAATCGCATGCTCACCACGTCCAGGTACGACGTCCTGAACGCGACGTACAGCATCATCTCGACCGGTCCCGTCCCGCGCGAGCGACGAATGGGATACGACGTCGCCAAGGGTAAGGTTCCTCCGCCGCTCTCCGACCGCGAAGTCGACGAGCGCGTCGCGCCCAAGGAGGGCGAGTCCGAGCGCGCGCCCCAAGGGTCGCCCGTTCCCACCTAATTTATCACCACACCCATTGTCCGACGCATTCGAGTCCCCCGAGTCGTGTTCCCATCGCGTCCACGTCACGTCTTCGCGCTTCGTCCCGTCTCGTCGACGCGCGGACAGAACCAAATTGCCCTCTGCGCGCGCCGCACTGCGCGCCCGCGGGCGCTCGTGCGGTCGTCCTCGACCGAGCCGGTGGACGGAATCAAAGCGATGATCGGTCTCCACACCGCGCTCGCGCCCTTGATCGCGCGCGTGTTGCGGCACTACGTCGACGGAATATCCAAGGAGAATGTCCACGCGAGTTTGCTCGGACGAAAACTTCGCCTGAGCGACGTGACGCTGCGCAAAGACGCGCTCGATGGACTCGCGTTGCCGTGTAACGTGGTCAAGGTGCGGGTGCGGGTGTTGGAGATCGCGTTTAGGCCGTTCGCGAGAGATTCGATCGTCGTCAAGGTGGACGGCGTCGAGTGCGAGCTCGAACAGGCGAGCGAAGGGGACGACGACGTGGATTACGATGAGCTCTTGAGCAGGAGAGACGCGAGGGAAAAGATTATGGAGGAAATAGCGAGGGATTTAGCGTCCAGGGTGGAGGCCGAGACGAGCGGGGGGGTGTCGAAAGCGATAGCGGCGGCGGCGCTCGAGCGGTTATCTTTCGAGAGCGCCGCCGGGAGTGTGACGTTTAGAACCAGAGGTTCGCGTCGAGGGGTCATTCAGGTGGGTTGGAGGAACGTTTCGATTCGAAGTGCGTCGATGACGACGTCGACGTCGACGTCGACGTCGAGCAGAGCCGATGATGAGGACGGCGATGGAGAATTGAGCGGCGTTCGCGCCTCAAAGCGATTCAAGGGAGTGACTAAGATCATGTTCAGCGGCGACACACGGAAGAGGGTGGAATTGAATGGGTTGTCGGTAATCGTGAATGACGGTGGCGGGTCCTCGGGAGTCGTTATCGGGCCGGATGCTCGACTTAGGATGGATGCGCACTTGCACAAGAGACCGAAGAGAGAGCGATATGAGCATCCCAATGCGTCGGTGTATGTCGTGAAGATGGACGTTAAGGATAAATTAGAGGCACTTGTTAGCGCGTCTCAGGTGAAGATGGTGCAACTTGCGATGGACGACATGGAAATGTGGGCGAAGAGGAGGGCTCACGGCGAGCGGAGGCCGAAGACCAAAAATCCAGTTGATTGGTGGAGATACGCAGTCAGAGCTACGGTACCGCGCGGAAAGCGACATAGAGCTCGAGTCTTGGAAACGATGCGGCGCGCGAAGGCACATCTAAAATCCTACATCGAAATACACGCCGAGCGTTCGCTCGGAAAGGAGGTGGCGATGCCGAAACATCTACAAAGTTTTGAGGCTGGGCTCAGCAAATACGATCTTGTTTATATCACCCAACTCGCCGAAGTTGAAGCGGCGAAACGGAGGAAAGGAGGAGACTCAGAGATGGATAGTTGGCTTCCGTCAGAGCACACCATGTACAGTGCGTCGCAAATTTTTGGCACGAGTGAAGATGTCCGGCGTCCTCGCACGTCCACCAACACGTCGACATCTTCATCGAATTTCTCGAGTTATGTGTACGCGAAAGGTACGGGTTATCTGTCCAAAGCGTATGGCTACATGAGATTTCCTAGTCTCAGCCGCTCTAGCGAGGTGTCCCATGATGAATTCAAACCTGAAGCAACGATTGTAATTCCTGGTGTTTCCGTGACAATGTGCGATCAATCAATGTCGAATAGAGTCAGGTTCACCGCACGTGGAATTTCGTTGAATCACGGTCCGCTAGTGAATGACGTCGACGGCGTTTTGAGTGAAACCGTACTCACCGTGGACCAGGTTCACGGCGAGGATTTGAGCAACGACCGCGTGGGGAAAATGATATGGGCACGTGTCGTCGACGGCGACGACGCGCGCCCAGCAGTTGTGGTCAAGTTGAACCCAGACTCGTGCCCAGATCTCGACGTCCTCATGAGTACTCACGTCAAACTTTCACCACACGCCATCGTGGTTCAGCCGAGTACTATTCGAGTATTGATGTCCATGATGAATGCGCTTGATACACCTTTCGCCACGGCCTTCAAAAATTCCGCACTTGCGCTTAACAGCCACTCACCACAGTGTAGATTGGGAATCATTGAATCACTCGGATCAGGGTTAGTAGCAAGTCCGACTCTGATCGAGGTTGACTCTCCGTTGATTATTATTTCGTCGAAACCTGTCAGTCGCTTCAAGACAGAGAATGACATCTCTGGAGCCTTGGCCTTCGGAGTCGAGAAGTTTGTGTTGTGCACGCAAAACGGTTTGCTGTCGCGTGAAGACGTTTTTGATAAGCTAGTGGAGGAGAGTTCGACCTCCGATTTCGAAAACGTGAATGCGCTCGCTCTGCGCACTCGCACTTTCGCGCGCGTAGACGGCGCTTGGGCGAGCGCGTCCAACGCCCCAATGCCGATTGTGTCAGACGTGAAAATGACGCTAGTGAACGACATCACCTTGTTCGATTCTGATACGACAATGGTTAACCTCGGCCCTTTAGAGCTCGAGTTCACTCCAGAGAGCATGGCTGCTTTGTTGCACGCCGTTGCGGTTTTTTCAGACGTCGCGCCTTCGTCATCATCCTCATCGACGACACCGGCGCCCGTCGATTCCGCAGTCAAGTTCGAGGTACCAAAGATCAAGGTGAGTCTCAAGAGCGGAGACGACCGTCTGGAATACGTCATCTCAGATGTTAACGTAGCGATGAAAGGTTCGTCGAATGATTGGAGAATGAAGTCGACGATTGGTCAGCTTTCTGGTGAGCACGTATCAGGCTTTGAGAGAACAGCGCTTTTAAAGTGCTCGTCGCCATTCATGAAGGCAAATGTGTGCTCACGAGTCGCCGGAATCATTGAAGTTGGTACGATTGAGGCGCGATGCACGAGGCAGATGTTGAACATGCTCTCCGATATGGCTTTCCAAACGAAAGGAATTCGCACAATCGAGGGCGACTTGGTTCTATGTCCTCGTATGCATGAATGCTGTCCAATTCAAAGTGAGTTTGAAAAGGCATGGAGTTCGGTTGAGACATTCGATATTCCCGACACTGGAGCGGGTTTCTTACGCGGTACGATAGAACCGATGTGCTTCAAACTCTTCGAGGAGTCCGATGAAACAGATGCTCTCATTCTGACGACGCACGCTATGGAAATTTGTGGCAACGTGACGCACGTCGAGCTCGAGCTTCATAGAATGCTCCTCTCTATTCTAAACGTGCGCTCACAAATGCTATTGTTTGATGTCGAAGAAGTACGCGCGCAGCATTCAGTTGGCACGAAAGAGACCACGAGTGTGCGTATTGGATCGATCGCACTTGAAGTGACGCCTGAGAGCACACGAAGATTGGTCGCAATCATGCAGACTGTTCCTCAGATACCGTCGTTGTCGATCGATTCACCGAAATCCAATACTAACGCGGGCATCATTTCTTCTCTTCCTAACTTGGATTTGAGCGTTAAGAGTGTCAAGCTGAGCGCTAAGGACGAGGATGAAGTGGCTGTTATATTCTCTGATGTGGCCACGCGTATCGATGCACACGACAAAGCAGTGAAAATAGAGTTGAATATCGACTCCGCAGGCGTCGATGTAACGACGCGAAGCAATCGAGATCGACCGTTTAGCGTGATCAAGTTGAACGACAAGACGCACGACGCCTTGAAAGTAGTCGCTGAAGGCATTTCTCGTACAGAGATGCGAGAAGAAATCAAGGTGGAAGTACATATCGGCGATGGAGTTGTTGAATTCAACGCCCCGTACATTATTGCTGCCGTTAACGTTTGTACCAGCATCTCTCGATCGCTTCCAGAACAGAATTCGTCACCGATGGGCACAACTTCGAGGGTCGATGTAGAACGCAGTCCATCGATAACTGCCGAGTTGAGCACTGGCATGTGGACCTTCCAACTGCCATGGCGATCGGAGCTTGAAAGACACGCGCCACTGCGCATGATACGACTGAGAACGAGACAAGCGGTTGGATTGCATGAATTTGTACTTGGCTCGACAATTCAGGCGACGTTTTTCCTTCAAGAGTTCAAGCTCGAGACGGGATACTGCAAAGATGAACAGGACCAAGAGGACTCTTCCGTAATGTTCACGCTCGCGGAGGTCACCGGATTGGAAACTCAGATTAATGTGCCTGCGACGTCCTCATCGTATTGCACAAGCGAGGTTGTTCCAAAATTTGAAGTCACTGCTGAGAGCGTGAGTGCTCACGCGAATGAAATCTCGCTGCATCTTCTCATAGAAATTGCAGAGCTGGTCATGGCCCAGCCCGCCACGGCGCAGGCGATTGAAGCGTATGACGCACTGCCTCAGAGCGCTTCTTCGAAAATTTTCGAGGCTTCCTTACGCGTCGATGTCATCACTGCGTGTCTTGAATACTCTCAAGTGCATCGCAGCGTGCCAATCGTGCAAGCTATGATGACCAACATGCGAGCAGAGATGAGGAGCTCTAACTTGGGAGCGGATATCAATGTCAACGTTCACGCGGAGGTTGATTATCTACATCCAGTAAAAGCAGCGTGGGAGCCAATCATCGAATCGACGCCGTTTCTCGTCTCAACTAAAATGACCACTGAGTTTCAGCCGACTTCGGTCACTGTGTCAGTCGCTTCTGGGTTGGATGTGACTGTTTCACCAAGTGTTGTCGAAGCCCTGCTTAAGGCGCAAGTTGTCGTAGAATCAGCGCAGACAGCAATAGCAGATCTTGAGCACTCTACCTCTTTTGGACCATGCTCGTATCAGATGACGAACGTCACGGGTTTTGACGTCGATTACGGGTTGTCTTACGTTCGTGATGGTGCGATCACGCATGCCGGAGAGGGTACAACTGTCGCCGGCGACACTCAACTGATGCGCTTTGCAAAACGCGAGGAGAAGTATCGGGTTGATCAACACAGAGTCTTCGAATGTGGTGCATCTTATTGGGCGTCCCCCATCGATGACGACGATGTTGATGGTGGACATGGACAAGACACTGCGCAGGAACCCGTACCCCACGTGTCTGTGGAATTCAAAACAGTGGACGTCGATGCTGAACCGATTTCCCTCCATGGAGGAATGGATGAGGAGCGCAGGTTATTAGAATATGCAGCTCATCTCGAGGACGGTTCGAGCACACGGATCATCGCCGAGATCGGCCCATGTTCAACCAGAGTGAACCGTTACGAATTGCTTCTCCGATCTGACGTCTCGATCTTGAATGGTACGAGCTTTCCAATCGTGATGTGCTTTCAGCACAGTGTCGCTCTCCCGTCGACGATTTTTGGACCGATTTTCCCGGGCGAGAGTGCCTGGCTTCCCATACCTTTGTGCAAATATCGCAAAGTGCAGTGGCGTGCGATGTCACTTGACGAGGATTTTGAGGATTTTGGCGACATTTCTGCTGTGGATGCCGACGTGGGCGATTCATTAGGTGGATCGCCATTTCTCAGTCCTTTGCAACGCGGGAAGAAATCAGCTACCAGTCAGTCGCCGCGACTCTGTGGCGGCAGTTCGGGACCACGGCATCAACATCACTGGAGCACCGCATTCACCTTCAATGATCTCATAACCAACGATGGTGCGATAGCTGCGTCGCTATGCTCAACAGCTAGTGCGCAAGAGGTTGAATCTTCCAAGCCGTACACGTGCGCACTCGTCGTGACTCGCAGCGAAGAGTTCAAACGGGTGCAACTCGCTTTGTGCTCACCACTGAGGATCGTCAACGCGCTGCCGCTACAGCTCGTCGTAACGTGCTGTTCGAAGAATGCCTTTAAGCACGATATGATAACTGAATCCCGCGTGGTGAGTCCAGGTGAGTCCGTCCTTTTCACCACTCTTCATCCAACTTGGTCGGCGACGGTGACAGCGCAAATCATCGGCTACGAGACGTGTGAGGATCTAATCGTGCCTGAGTACACGCAGGCTCTGAAGACTGCCAAACGACGCTCAAACGGTGAAATATATCACATTGACCGCGACGCGAAGCCAGTGGATCGCAAAGGAAGTCAGGATTCTTTCGCAGCGGTTTCACTTCGGTTTGCATTTTCAATAGACGACGTGACGCAAGTACGAACCTTGCACTGCGCCGCGCCATTGATTATCCTCAATGCGACATCATGTGCGATCGTGCTCGAAGACATGCTGCACGGGATTAAAGCGGAAGATTCTACACTACTGCGTGAAGCCGAATCGAATGAGATGATCCCTCAGACGCAGCAAGGCAAGCTAACGAGCACGCCACTGCGTCTTTTCGAGGAAGACGCAGAGAATTTTGAGACGCCGCCACCGGTGTCACCGTTCGCTCGACTGGCTCAAAATCAGGCGTTACCGCAGCTTTCAAGCTCACGTTCCTCAACTGTGTTCACGGACGCGAGTCCAGTGTTACTGAGGCAATCTTCGTTGCGTTTGAATGCTGAATCAATAAATTTCGTCACTCCAACGACACCTGGACAGCATTCAACGCCATCTGTCGTGCAAAGGTCAGAATTCTACGACAAAGGTGACAATGGCGTCGCGACGCGAGTGAGTATTCTAGGGAGCTCTGCGCACTGGCGAAAAAAAATCACTCATCGTCCACGTGTGCGCATTCGTCTCAAGGCATCCCGGTTTTGGAGTAGGCCGTTCAGGATCAGCCCCGACGGCGTTCCCATTGAGATATCAGTTCCTTCTGAGAGCAGCGCTGACGTGTGTGAGCATCGTTTCATCGCTACATCTAGCGTCGCTACAACGGAGAAAATGTATGACACTGCAAAACTCGATATTCGACCAAAGTTTCTCATCAAAAGTACGCTTGACGAAGCGATTTGGATACGACACGGTGGCACCGAGCATGTCGAGCTACTGCCTGCTCGAACGACTAGGCCTCTGAAATGGTTCGATTGGAGAGGGAAAAAGTCAAAAATTGTCATGTTTCGACCGGAAAAGGGGGTGTTCGAGTGGTCTAAGCCTGTGATTGTTCCGGATCACGTGGCGTCCATTCTGAAGATGCATCACATCGGCGTAAATAGCAGCATGCACACGGAAACCATCACCGTCTCCATTCTCGAGAACGACGACAGTTCCTTCACGATACGCATAGCGCGGCCGACTGAGATCGACGGTATCCTTGGCATGCACACGATTGAGAATCACTCAAACGTTGAGATTTGGTATCATCAGCTCGGCACAAGTGGTGATCAGTTGCGCCTGGGTCCGAAAGAGAGCGACGAACGTATGATAGAGGATTCGTCTCTACCGCGTGCCCTGGTCATTGGTTACGGTGAACTCCCTTTAGGAGAGCCAATATCTCTGGATGTCTCGCGCGAGATATCGTACAGCGTCGTGACCACGGATCGAAACTGTTTGCGAATCACGGTGACGAGAGAGGGTCCGATGTGTTCCGTAATAATTGAGGATGCGCTCGGCACACGTGTGTCTACAACACCCGAGCGTCCAATCTTGCGACCGAAATCTGTCGAACGCGACAACCCGCAGGTTGATTTTTCGCTGAAATGCAATTGGATTGGCATGAGTATGCTTCACGGTCACGAAGAGCTCATGTACGCACGGATGAGCGATGTGGCCGTGAAGACCATCACAGATGGCTCAGAGTTCAAGAGCGCTCTTCGTGTTAAGCACATTCGAGTGGATCATACGAGCACGCGAGCAAAACGGCCCATTGTCTTGGATATACCGGAGCGACATCAGAGTGCTCGCGAGGCCATGGAACTTCAAGTTCACGGTTGGATGCATAGAATGAACGGCTTACCAGTTGTGCGTTCATTGAAGATTGATTTGGCTCCGGCGTTCATTGACATACACGATGAACTCATCGACGTAATACCATTGGCGATCGAACCGTGCATGAGGCATGCCGAACTTCTTCTACCGCCAGCGAAACCGAACAAGGGGAAGAGCAAGGGATCGAACAAGCGTCAACAAGAAGGTGAAACCATGAGCGCACTCACATCGGTTTACCTGCAGGAACTAATCATCAATGATGTGGAACTCATCTTGTCGTTTTCCCGATTACCGGGGCTACCCATCGCCATTCGCTCTCTCGCTGGGGTCGACCGAGCGCGCCTTCGCATGAAAGGTTTTCATATGAACCAACCTTCGCTAATGGCGGCAGATGTTGGCGCAATGGCCGCGAGGCATTTCAGCAGAGAGGCTGTCGTCCTTGCGAGCTCCTTGTGGGCGCACAATTCTTTGCTCGGTGATCCAAAACGATTGTGGGAAGAAATATTTGAGGCGTTCAATGAGTTCCATAGCGGGTCAACAGTCACAGCGTTGCCGCGAGTTGTCATGGCACTCACAGCGGCATTCGCGCACTCCGGAGAAGTGGCCTTATCACAAGCGAGAGATGTCGTCGAGGGTTGGCTCGAAGCTTTGGAAGCTTCGCAGAGCAAGCGGCGCTTCGCTCTTCAAACTCGGAGACTCGGTGCGGTGGAGGACTCGCAGAAGAAAGTCAGTGAAACTTTACTTCAACACGCGTTTGATACCGTCGCGCGAGTTATTTTTGACGTTATCGACGGACCTTTATCCGGTATGGAGATAGGTGGCGTGTGGGGCATGATGGAAGGTTCAGCAATAGGCGCACTGAGCGCGTTCACTCGCGTGTTGGCGACGATTTTAGACGCCTCTGAGTTGAGCGCGCGAAGGCTTCGATTGTTTGCTGCGATTAAAACGTTCGATGAGAGCGAATACATGCGGCCGAGACGTCCGCTACCGACGTCTTACATGGACCCTGTTCGTCCTTACCATTACATCGAAGCAATCGGGCGGATGACGCTTGCGAAACTAGAGACGAGCGAACGTGATGAAAAATTCGTCGCCGCGGCAACCATGTCGTGGCCGTCGTACGACTTCTGCATCTTGACCGGAGGTAAACTCCTCATTATTAGTCGACCACGCGATGCGGGAGCGATACCATACGTTCGGTCGAGCGTGAGATTTGTGGACATCACAGGCGTCCTTCGTGATAGCCATCGCGTATCGATCAACGCCGTGACTGCCGTTGAATCGATGCAATCTCAGCCGGTGACGATGCAAAGCGCACTCGATCGCGCGTACAGCTTCGCGCTCTCGGCGCTCGGTCGTTTTAGAACGAGCGCGTCGACGTATTCGACTCCGAACGACGAGGCATCGCGCGCTTACGAGGACACGACGCCAAGGACGGTCGTAGTGCGATGCGCCGACGAGGACGCTGCACATTGGCTCACCAGCGCGCTCTCGCCCTTCGTCCACGCCAACTCCGCGCGACGCCAGTAGATAGCATTGTAATTTGTAGATTTCTTAGATTTCTGTACTACTACCGGTGGTTCTTAGACGTGGTTGTTACAAAATTCAGGGCTCTTGCTTTTGAGCCGCTCGCTTGGCGGCATTTTTAGCCGCAAGTTCGATCATCCACTGCGGCTTCTCCGCCTTTGGCGCCTCGCTCGGCACCGGCGATGTAATCTCGCGACGATCACCATTTATCGCCTCCACCTCGCTCGCCTCGCCGTCCGCCTCTGCACCGCTGCTCAACGCCGCCTCCTCCGCCCGCTGCTCGATCCCGCTCGTCTCCGAGTCCCCCTCGCTCGCCGCCGCCTTCACCCCAACCTTCTTCAGCACCCCTCGGAGCTCACCCATGGCCATGGCGTTCATTCCCGGAAGCGTGTACCTCATCCCTCGCCCCGCGCCTCGTCGCGGTTTCCCCTCCGCGTCGAACATATCCTCAAACGTCTCGTCCACGTCGCCCTCCGCGTCGACCGATCCGTCATCCCCATCACCGCCCCTCGTCCGCATCACGCTCTTCGTCGCCCGGCGCGTCGCGCGCACGTCCGCGAACGCCTCTCCCGCGTGTTCCCGCACGCGCTCCAGCGCCGCGTCCAGCGCTTCGGCGATGTTTCCCGCGAGCGCGGTGCCTCGAACGACGCTCAGCGCGAGCTCGCCATCGCCGTCGTCCACCGCTCGCGCGCTCGCCTCCGCCGCGGCGTCCTCGAGCGCGCGCGCGAGGTCCGTGAGCGTGTCCGCGAGCGATCGCACGTCCGCGACGCGCCACGACGGCATGGCGCGTCGCGCAAAGACGGCGTGGAGACACTCGGATCGATTCGAAGCCAACGACCTCGACGATGCGCGACGCGATCGCGGCACGCGTCGACGCGCTCGCGCGTCATGCGGGTCGCCCGTCGGCGCATGGTGCGCGCGCTGAGTGACTTTGTCGCGTGCATCACGTGCTCGAAGGAGGAGGAGGAGGTGGTGATCGCGGAGAAGGAGGTGGATGAGAAGATTCAACAAATCATGAAGTGGAAGCGAAGCACGGGGAAGGTGAACGCGTTAAAGCTGTGGTTGGTCGAGCTCGAGGGATGGATCGCGGAGGAGGTGGAGCATCGTTACGGGAAACACATCGCGAGGTCTCACGGTGGGTTCGTCAAGGAGACGCTCCCGAGTTTGTGTAAATTTAAGGAAATGCCGGTGCAGATTGCGGCGTTGGCGTTGGTGGAGCGTCTCGGGATGGCGGACGAGACGGCGACGATGTTAGGGACGAAGGAGATGTTTAAAACATGCGTGGGGATCATCAAAGGGAAAAAGGCCAAGAATTTAGGCGCCGCGGCGAGCGGGGCGCTGTCGACGCTTGTGAACCACGAGGACACGCGGTACTTGGCGAGCGACGAGGGACTGGATAAATCCATGTCGAGTCTCATCGTTGAGAAGGGATTAGGGGTGGTGACGAAGAGAAATTGCGTCGTTACGTTTGCCAGAATGGCCGATGATCCCGAGGTGGCGTCTCTCATGAGCGCGAAGAACCCGGATCAGGTGATAAAGACGCTTTTAGATTTCGTCGACAAGACAGACGACATGGACACGGAGAAGTGGGCACTCATCGGCCTGGCGCGTCTGGCGATGAACGACGCGTTCAGTGATATTTTGCAGAAGAAAGGACACATCCCTTTCCTGTTTGAGCTCTCACGAGATAAGATTCCGACGAGAAAGCTCGCAGCGTCTCTCGTCATCGCCCACCTGGCGAGAAACAAAAATTTGCGCGAGACGTTGGTGAGGCATCGTGCGATTCAGTTGTTTTGCGCCATTGCGATGAACACCTCGGAACGAGTAGATATGGCGGAGATGCAACTAGTCGCAGCGATGGGTCTGAAGAATTTGGCGTCGAACTTTGAGCTTCGCGCGCTCGCCGGTCGCACCGGCGCCATTTCCTCGTGCCTCTTCATGATGAAGAGCCCGCAGCAGGAAGTCGCGCGCTTCGCTGCGCTCGCGATCGCTGAACTTTCCCTCTACGAACCGAACGGTCGGAAGTTTGTTCAACAAGGAGTGCTCAAGTGGATCATCAAGCTCGCGCGCACGGGCGACGTGCGATCTGAAGTCGCGGCCATCGGCGCCTTATCCAACCTGATGTTGACGCCCGAGAACCAAGGAGCTATGATCGCCGAAGATGGTACCAAGGTGGTGGACGCTCTACAAAACTCGCGAAACACGCGCGTCGCTCACCTCGCAAAACAGCTACTGAAGCGTCTGCGCCTGGCGAAGCTTCGCGCGGCGTGCAAGCTCGCGGCGCGAATGAAGGCGACGGGCAAAGCGCTCATCGAGCAGGGTGTAGTCATCGGCGATGGATATTAGATCCCATCGCTCAAACAACTAGCAAGTATAGATAGATACTAGCGCGCCTTTGCTTCTTCGCAAGGCGCGATTTGTGGTGATGAACGTTGAAAACTGTCACTGTACGTTTCAAGCAAGTCGTGTGCACGCGCGAGACTAAGTATACTATTCGGGATCGCTATTCGGCTACGCCGCGCGTGCGTGATCGGCTTCGGGTTTACATCATCGGCGATTTTCCCGCTCGGCACATCGAACACGTCCATTCTTTGACCTTTGACACGCTCGCGTGCGTCTCGCCGACGCACTGCGGATGAAACCAATCGTGACACTTTTCACAATGAACCATGAAACGATCGGGGTTGTACGGCTCCGCGCACGCACAAAACACCGGTACCTTTTCCGGTTTAAACTTCCCCTCCGAACTCTTGTACATGAACCTCGAGTAAAAATCGTACTCGGTCACCGCGTCGAGTTTTACGTAATCTTTCAGCGCGTGCACCTCGCACTTCGCATCGAGCGTGTTCACGCTCACCCAATCGAAGTGATCGCTCGCAAACAACTCCTTGACGCCGTGAAACCGTTTCCTCCCCCCCGCCGCCTCCTGCGGTCTGTAGTACCAACATATTCTCGCCTTTACCGCCCCCTTGTCAACCGTCACGCTCACGATTCGCCCGACGTACCGCTCGCGCACCCCCGGCGCTTTCACCAACACCGCATCGTTCACCTCGAACACGTCGTCACCGATCACGACGCGCGCGATCTCACCGTCGGGGACGTCCACGGAGACTTTCGGTCCGCCCATGGCGTGCGCGGCGTCGATGCGCGCCCGCGTGCGATCACCGCGCGCGCTCGGGTCGGGCGCCGACGCCGAGGCCGAGGACGTCGACGCCGCGGGTCCGCGCCCGCGACGCGCGCGGGCGAGAGTGTGGACGTCCGAGCTCGGGGGGCGGACGACGGCCGATGGGGGTGTTTCAAAAAAACGAAACACCTAGAAAGTACGTACACGCGAATCGATGGCGGTCTCGGCGACGGTGAATCGAATCGTCACATCGCGCGACGGGCCGGTACCGGTGCGTCGCCCGCGCGCGAGGGCTGGACGAGACATGGGACCGGACCTTGGGGGCGATCATGCGCGTCGCGCGGTGCGGGACGCCGAAACGATCGGCGGACGTGGGGGAGACGCGGACGCGGGAGGATGGGCGGACGGCGGAGGCGAACGCGCGCGCGCGCGCGACGGATGGTGCGGCGTCGACGGAGACGGTGACGGGGGAGAGAACGCGGAAGGAAGGGGCGGTGGGTGATCCGGGACGCGGCGCCGTGGTGGATTTCGTGGACGCGCTTCGAGAGGATGGGACGTTGCGGCGGTTGGAGTCGGCGGCGGAGCGCTTGCGAGAGGCGACGCGCGGAGGCGCGCGCGAGATCGATCGGTCGTCGAGCGATCGGTCGACGGAACGGCGCGAGAACGCGGAGCATAAGCTGTTACAGTACCTAGATAACTCGGATCGATCGTCGAACGAGGAGCTGTGGCGGTTGGAGTCGGGGATCGTCGCGCCGACGAACACGGCGATCGCGACGCGTCTCTCGGGCGAATCGAGGAGTTCGACCGCGACGTCGGCTCCGTCCATCGAGTCGGATATCGACGCGTTATTGAATTTCGTCGAAAAGTCGTGCGCAAATGCCCGTGAATTGGATGATGAGCCGAACGACGAGCGCACGCCGGAGCCGATGCTCACTCGATCGAAAGCGATTCGTTGTCGTCCGACGTTACCCGGCATTTCAAGCGACGACGACGACACCGATTCTCCGGGATTCACGCCACCGAAAAAAGTTGTACCGTCATCACAGGATTCTCTCGCAGCGGTAGAGTCTCTGAAAGGACGCAGGAGCAGCTCATCGCGATCAATGACACACGACAGTTCACCGTCCGACGACGTCAATCGATTCGATCGGTTCACCGGTACGCGATTCGACGACGTGTTTCCAGCTCTGCTTCGCGCTCAGATTCACGACGCGCTCAGTGAATCGAACATCATCCATTCGAGTTCGACCGATAACGACGGTGGACCATCCGACGTTTGGCCGGTGATGCTTCGGTTTCGTTTGTTGGATATTCCGCGCCAACGATTGCGATCGGCTCGACCGACGCTCAACGCGACCATCGGACTATGTCTTCTGAGAAGCATCGACGCCGAGGCGCAAATGTTGGATCGCGAGCTGTCTGTGAACGCGATTAAAATGAGTGCGATCGAGCGCGAAGTGCGCGAGAAGTCCATGCTCGTGCGGAGGGCGATTTTTGAAATTCCTTCCGAGCGCCTGCGCGAAGCGCTCGTCGAACTCCACCAACTCTCTCTCGATCTCCTCCTTCGCCAAGGCGTCGTTCGTCAGTTCGAGTCTCAGCTGGCTCGCATCAATACCGTTCTCGCTGACCCACGCGTGCGCCGGAAGCCCGAAACGGCGAGCGACGCCTTTGATTACGCGTGCGCGCTCGGACTCCAGGGCCATCAGTCCGCCGGGCGCTGAGACGTTGAGAATCGCCTGCACGACGAGCACGAATGATTCGAAATATTTGAAATATTTGACCTATGCGATGTGGTGACCTATTACAACTCGAGGGACTCCGCGGGCTCGACTCACGCGTCGTTAAAGTGCACGCCTCCCGCGTTGACGACGACCCAGAACGTGCCCAACATCAGCGAGATGATGGTCGTGAACGAGAGCACGATGACAACCTGGCCGAGAGTCGGCCTCGGGAGAGATTCGAGCAAAGATTTCTTTTGTTCCTCGACCACCGGTTTCGACGCCCTCTTCTTCGCCGGCGCGGCGCCGTAAAGCGCGGCTTCGGGTTCGTTGAACGGGTTCTTCGCCGAGCTCGCGCCGCCGAACGGCGACTTCGCCGCGTTCGATCCCGGCGCCGCCGCGAAGGGCGACCGCGCCTCCGCCGCCCCGAATGGACTCTGCGCTGGCGTATTCCCGCCCGCGGCGGGCGTCACGCTCGCACCGAAAGGGCTCGCCGGCTTCGCCGCCGGTTTCGCCGCCTCCGCGCCGAACGGACTCGCCGGTTTCCCCGACGCCGCGTCCCCGAACGGACTCGCCGGCGTCGCCGTCGACGCCGCCGCCGTCCCCCCA